GCACAGCTGGAGATGAAGCCGGAAAATATAAATCAGGGAGGGAGTCATTTAATTCAAAGCTTCTTTGAGACCCTCTTTCATATTTCAAACGGTTCATTTTATTTATGTTAATAATTTTTGCTTTTCAAGATCGAACGATTAATTTGAAATTGATCAAATAAGACACCGAGTACACGACTGACAAGGAACATTACCCAATCGACACATGCCGATTTTGATGCCCTTTGAGTATGATATAAAACTCAAAAAAATATTTGACATGTATTTTTTTTTATCGGCAATCGTCCATGCTGAAAGGGTGAAAATAGCCCTCAAAGTTGGGGTTGCAAAAATTCAAAATGGAATTTATGTGCTTTTGAACAGCAAATTTTTCTATGTAGCCACCTTTTTGATAAATTTATTTGTTTAAAAGATATACTGAAAAATAATCTATTAATACGTGTAAATACGTATAAAATATGTGTCAAATATTTTTTTGAGTTCTATATCATACTCATAGGTCATCAAAATCGGCGTATGTCGATTGGGTAATGTCCCTTGTGAGAATGGAAACTGTGTCAGGGATGTAAGGGTAGGGTGGAGAAATTTTCTGACCGCGACACGGTGGCAAAAACAGCCGTGGCAGAAACAAGAGTTCTTATCGTTTCGTCTGATCCTGGTAGGGCCATGTTTTTACTTTCTAGAGGAGAAAGAATCGACAGGTCGAACCGAGAATTTGTCGTGCACGCACGAACGACTGTTTGCTCTGCTTCGTTCGATCCGCGTAGATCGACGTGCACCGACTGCAATTTACGAATCCTCGGCGCACTATTGTCCTCCGCATACGACCCCTTTTAAAGGGAATAGCTTCAGCACCATTTTCCCTACACCGGCTGCGACACCGTTCGATAATAAATTCAGATATAATTTGAAGTAAAATTTCGAAAAGAGGCATTCGTTATTTTTCGACATGGAAAATAGAAGGTTTAGAAGGTAGACTTCTAGAAAGTAAATTATAATTCTGATCGAATTTTTTGACAAACCTTAAACTACCCTTGTTGCATATAATTTCGTATTAAATTGGTCAGATTTCAAAGCGACGGTAATAAAATAACTCGGAATAAAATAGCGGTTAAGTTAAAGTTCATATCTGGCAAGATCTATCACCGCGGGAATTAAATTCATTAGTAAATGTCGGATAAAAGAAAGAACGATCTTTCCAAGCGAACAAGACTCTAATGACACCTCGAACAGCAATAATTGTTTAATGAATAGCAACAGCGGTAGCTTCATAAATAAACGTCAGTGGAAATGGTAAACATCCATCGAATGGGAAATAAAAAAAGGAATAATTGATCTTGCTCAATTAATCTTAAAACGAAGATTTTCCAATCGAAATGAAACGCATCCGACTGAATAGGTCACGTTTCTGAAGTTTGTCGAAACTTTCATCGGCTGTTGTGAAATAAACACACGCGACACCATTCAATTTCCATTTAGAATCGTGAAACGCGTGATTGCTTGTTAGCTGACATCTCTCGCTGATATTTACACGCGCATTCATCGTGATTTCTAGCTTCTCAATCGATTCAAAAGCATAGAATAACGTCACGACGGCGTAGCTGATTGCGCGGTAAAAGCAATCTCGTGAAAGTCTGTCGACCTGTCAAATGAAAAGCCGAACCTGGAAAGCTTGATTCGAAACGATTCGTCGTTGGATCAATTTGATACCGTGTCGATTTTCGAATCGCGTCCGATAAATTAACCCTCGAATAGCGGAGAAAAAAGTAAAAGAATTTCCATTTCGAAATCAACCTACGGTTAAAAATTGAAATTGAAATTTCCATTTCGAATTTCACAGGATATATTAAATTACATATAAAAATTACTATTAACTGAAATTGAAAGAGGCAATAACGTTTCCAGATACCCTGAGCTATCATATTTAATGGACTATTAAATATCTGAAAGTTTCGAAGAGGCTCAAGAATATTTGAATATAAGTACCATAACGATTTGAAATTCTATAATGATTGAATTGCGTAAAAATGTTAGGGGGAGAGAGAGAGTATCGAGTATCGAATATCCATCGTTAGGAACACGGAAGTCAATCCATAGAACATCGTGCAATATAATCGTAGTTTGCCATGCCGTTCAAGAGACCAGAATTAGTCGACGGAGAAGCTGCTCGACGATCAATTAGTTTCGATCAGGAAGCAATTTCAGACACGCTTAGCTGAATTCTTTTTTCCCATCGCGAACAAATCGCTGCGTTATACGTTCATTAGGCTACTTCCTGAATATCCGATCGTTCCCTGCTGCCGTTCAATAGCCGTTTAATTGCGATTTCCCTTCATTCAAGCTGAGATTCAGGATTTCTTTCCTTTTTTTTTTTTTCAATTATTTGTTAAGATCAACAAAGTTTCATTACGGTATAAACGCAGGTTATTTCTTCCTTTGCACCAGGAGCAGTGATGTAACTAGGTAAAGTGCACGGTGGGCCCTGGTAAAATTGCAAAATTGCAAAATTCTAAAGTTCCAAAAATCAAAAATTCCTAAGGGACCTAATCTATTCCTAAAAATCTTAGTTACGCCAATGACCAGAACAAAGGTGACGACGCCTTCAAACATTATTCCCCCCGATGGGTAATTAGGGAAAAAAGGGGTTAATGTGATTTGTCTCGGGTGATTTGTAAGATTTATACCCGGGCCAAGATGTCACGCGGATAAAAAACAGATTCGAAACGCGTCTGTATGTTTGCCGAGAGGCAACACAAAGTGTCTCTGCCCGTCGCTCGTTCATACAGGAATAAGTTATGAAACGAGCCGAGGATAAAAACTTTTTGATCCCTCTTTCCCGCAACGAGAACCTTAAGCCGCACCCACGTCTCTGCCTCGATCACGGGGATCAAGGACCAACCGTGGATCGGTCGGCTAAGAAGACGGGACGAGCTTCTCGACTGAATCGAATAACATCGGCTATCGAGTTTGCATCGAGGACGAAGCGATTGAAATAACCGGAGCTCGTTCTCCATTGAAAGAACGCGGACCTGAAAGAGGGTGTCAATTTAACCACGATCATCGTGACTTATTTCAGTATCTCTTATAGGATTTGTCCAAGCTTAACCTTGTGCACGCGAATCCTTCGCAAATCTATTTTGGAAATATAGTAATTGTCTTTTCGCTGAAACCCGAAATTTCGAAGCTAATTATTACCTGAAAATTTGATGGAAGCGATGGAAGTCGATGCGACGCGCGTCGGTTGAGTTATCACCAGCTGCCAGAAACAGGGCCGGACCTCTCGTGACCCGATATCGCAGCGGAACGTTCCGATATTGGCAGCACTTCGGCCTCTGAGAAACGAAGAACAATAGAAGCAGCGGCGTGTGCGCCGTATGCTATCTCCAACCTGCTGGTCCCTTTTGCTTTTACTCAACTTTCCGTCGAGTTTCCTCTCGATCGTCAGGGATACCGTGAACTATGACTACTACTGTGTTTCGATGAACAGGACGACCTTCGAAAACGATCGTATCGTGTGCGAAAATAGACGCGAAACGGGGATGCGCCCTGAATCGAGAGAAAATTTAGAAAAATTTATGACACGGTTTTCGAGAAACTGATTTTGCATCAAAAATAAATGTTTAATTAAAAAAAAAGAAAGAAGTCATAGAATTAATTTGTGAACCTAATATACTTGGACTTCGTTTCTATACAGCGATGAGGTAAAAAGACAAAAAGATCGTGGTTGAGAAGAAACTGTTTAGGTATAGTTTATCGTGCGACGAGCAGAAACAGCCGGTCGCCAAGCGCAGCACCGTGCAAAGAATAAATAGCTTGCACGCGAAACGTCACTTTTATGGGCCGGAGCTTTTAGTCCCGCCTGTAAAAACGTCCCAGTCCATTAGTACTCGACGACGATACGAACGTCACCGTAGCTGGCTGTGCATGCAAAAATTCACCGGTCGCTTAATAACATTTTCTCGTTCGAAACGTCGCGACGAATAGACCGCGACCACGTACCGGGTGTTGGGAACGGCCTTTCGAACGCGACCTTACACAAACGGAATCGTTTAACAATTATCACCTTAAAGCTGTTCGAAGTTCCTTACAAATGAACTGAAGCTTCTACAATAAGAAAATTATTCCATGTATAATTGATAGATCAATTTACGGAGTTACCGTGACTTTCTAAAAATAAATCTTCAATTATACAAAAAATAAGAAAAGGGATAGAATTAAGTTGTACAGTTGCAACCAAATTAGGTTTCTCCAGAAACAATGGCGATACCCGGGCTCCTCGTCCTTCCCCTTAGATGGTCGCGGGAAGAATAACCGATGCGGGGAAGTGGGCCTCATATATATAGGCCTCTGGCGGACCACCACCTGCGCGCGCACGTGTACGCGGGAAAGTTTGAACAGATATTTATTCATTATTGGTATTTCTCAGTTATATACTAAATTTTATAATGTTTAATAATTGAAAATAATATTATTTTGTTTCAAAGATGTTTTTAATGTTAACATTATCAAAATTAAGACCCTGTATTGCTATTTTCACTACGGAAGCCTGATTTGATCGTGAGTGTACAACTAATACTATTCACCGTGATGACTTGGAATGCACAACTGTTCCACGGTCGAGAAAACTGTCTTTATTCAACGTTCCACGATTCGTATTTAAAAATAGCCGGTGAATATGCATTCCGGTGCATTTCGTTCTTGAAACGCGCGGCCTTTAACGTCATTTTTTCGTTGTTGCGACGACACTGTTGTGGAACGGAGGAATTCGCAGAGACGAGGCAGCAGCCAGAATGTGGATCGGCTTAGCGGGACGGGCAGATTGCGAGGCTTTGAGCAAGAACGAGGAAGGCTTACGAGCGGGGCTTTTTCGTTTCAGCTGAATCGAGATTAGCCGTCGAGCTAAATGAATGCGTCGTAGATTTCGTTTCTTCCCCGGCCAGTTTTCTATTCAATATCATAATAAATTTATTCCTGTTGTATACTCTAAAATTCTTTAACTTCTGTTTAGTGAAACATGAAAAAAAAAAAAATTGTTGTTTTTTTTGTACAAATCTTGCGTGACACAGAAATTCTTAGTGTCACGTAATTATTCATATTCTCATTGTGTATTCCAGGATGCTTTGAGTTGTCCCGGGCGAGTCAACCTAGAAACTCGATGCTTTGCTACGGTGCAAAATTAATTTTCCTCTGGACCCCTTTTCCACCCGAACTTTCTCCCTTCGGTCGCCTCGGTTTTCACATTCTCATTGTGTATTCAATCCTCCCTTGTGGACCAACTAGATTCTAGGAAGCTCGTACTTTGCTGTGGTACAAAATTAATTTTCCCTCGAATCCCTTAGCGAATCCCATCCTTCGATCGATTACCAACGAATCAAACTAGACGTTTCCCGAATAATCATGAATAATCGAAATTGATTTTTTCGAATGTTTCGAAGTTTCTAATCCGAAAAGCATCAGCCAGTTCGCGATTCCAGTTACGAGCGACCGATTACCTCGAAACCTTTATCAACGTGGATGCTTTCCGCAGGAGGATCCCTCGATTCTCGGATGAAAATCTGAGCAGAAACGCCGGTGCGCCGGAAGTGAGCCGGAACCGGTGACCCAGATGCGCACGCGACACAAATACCAGGAAAAAACGACAATAATGATGAGAGTAGAGATTAACTACAACCACGACAATAAACACGTAAGACTGATTCGAATCGATTAGACGAGAGAAGTAGAGAAAAGAAGAGAAGAAGAAACGAGAAATAGAAGGAGACCAGAATATAGTGACAGTAGTGTATCGTCGATGAGAAAGATCGTATATTTTCGTCGATTTTTCACGAACAAGAGAAATAAAGGATGTAACAGTTGATGAAAGAAGAATTTCGAGGATGATGCTTCAAATTGCTTCGCGGAGCATCTTGGAAAATCTGTAGAGAAGTTTCTAATTGGGAAACTGGAATTCGAAAAACGAAGAGATGTCACTGAATCACAGATATTACGTGAGTATCAGCCATGTTTATTTTCAAAACTTTCAAATGGAATTAGTTTAAATGGAAACGAAGAACAATGGTTCCATGTAAAATGAAAAGATTGCAAGTTGAAAGCAATTAATTTCAGTGCAGCACGTTCAAACAGAAAACATTTTTTGCATTCATGCCAATGTCTACGGAACGATGTTTCCAATTTCTTTCTCATAGAATAAACAAAGAAACATGACGAACAAATAATATTTTAAAATAAACACGAATCTATCCTCTTGTATAACAATAAAGCTTTCATTCATTCGTTCGTTTTTTTGTCTGTTTAAAATAAAGAGTCCATCTTTTAATTAATATTTGTCTGAATAAAAAAAAAATGAAACATTTTTACGAATATAGATAGTTTTCGTTTTTAAGCAAGAATAAAGGAACTATGGCTTTGGATGTTTCTAAGCTTCCGATAATATTTCTTTCGCAAACGAAGCCACGTTGAAGATGTTTCCGCGGATTGATAGGAGCGTTGTTATTTCCTCTTCGTTCCTCTGGCCAGAACTTTTCAGTCTTAAGAGCCCTGAAGGAGTTGCCGCCAACTCGAAAGTCGGTTACTGGGTTGAAATCATTCGGAAAGCGAAAGACAAACGGCTCCGGGTGGGTTTAACTAAAATATTCCTACGGATGATGTCTGGACAATGAAACCGTGTCGTTAACAGATGAACTCGATCATCGAAACCTTGTAATTCGAATTAAAACTTTCCTTAACCCTTGAACAACGGAGACAAATCGGAGCTCTCTCCATGGTCCGCCGTCCGGAAGTTAAATTAAATTGAAAATTTTCAGCGTTAAAATGAAGATAGACAAAGCATAAGAAAATTTTACTTCGGAAACAAATCGGAGCTCTCTCCATGGTCCGCCGTTCGAAAGTTAACTAAATTGAAAAATTTTCAGCGTTAAAATGAAGATAGACAAAGCATAAGAAAATTTTACTTATCGTTAGTAAATTTTCAATATTTCCAGCGCTAATTTAAAAAGAAAGAGATGATGATTTTTGTAAGGAATAGAGAAAAGGTACGCGAAGAGCGTGAAAGAAGTTTCTTAATTAGCCGATGTACGGGGAACACGTGAACGTAAACCATTATCTTGCAAAATTCCATTATACACATTTTGCAACGAGCTCGGCGTTGCCGCGTTAAAAGCACAGTAGCAAGGAGTATCGGTGATGCTTCAGGACACTTGCTGCTATCGTATGCGAGGCAATAAATTACATCCTCAAGGATCCCCGCTTCCCACACATCTTGCCACAGGATCGAATCCTGGCACGAAGGAGTTAAAGCGGAACGCGTCGTCGTTTCCGTTTCACTAACTGCATCGTACATTAACATTTCCCAGAGAGTCTTGATGTTACTTCGATAAAATTATTGCAATTTCAATCCTTTCGTTCGCGCCTGATAGCTAAAGTTATCAGAGTTGAAAAGTTTCACGGTAAAAGGATCGAGAAAAGAAAAGTATAGAATTAAGATAACATTAAAGAATTTTTGTTGATCAGCTAGCGAACGATTTAATCGGTGAAGAGACATTAAAATGTATAGGCGAAGTGAAAAATGCGGCTGGTACCGGCGGGTAAAAGTATTGCTGACGCGTTGGAAAAATCACTACCGTTCCTGGCGGAATAAATTATTGATATATGACCAGCCTTTTTCTCTTATAGCTCACCTCCTAGCCGAGTTCAAGACGTTAAAGGGAATAGCGCGGTTCTTCCTTTAAGGACGAACCATTTACCCGATTGAAATTTTCTCCATCAAAAGTAACACCTTTCAGTTCCTCCCAAATGCGATTGTAAAATCAATCCTCGCGAATTATCGTTTTGAACTTTAAACCTTCAATTGAAAATAGGTAAGAGAATAAAATTTGAATCGCGATACGCGTGCTGAGAAACGCACGTTCACGCCGATCGTGTCGTGGGTCATTTTGCTCCTGGCGAGCATCGGCTCCGCACTGAATCATCTCCACTATTCGTAGACGCCTACGCGATCGTTTTCATTGCTTCTACCTTCATTTTTGTTGCGACCATCGAGGCAGCCGGATGCATTTCGTTTTCTCTTCTTCTATTGCCGTGTCGCTCGCGAATCAATCGGCTCTCCCTAGTCGAGTGTCATAACACGAATGAGGATGATGGAGATAGTGATTGAACGAGAAAATCGAATGATTTACACCGCTTTAGTCGTATTTTATTACATCCTGTCGCAATCGTTTAGTGGAGGGGGTTTCGTCTCCTCGGACGCCTTGAGTTCGGGCCTGGGACCGCTAGGTCTAATTTGTTTCCAACTTGATCCTAGAATTTTTTCAGATTTTTTGAAAGCCAAGAACAGTAAAAGAAATTAATCGTCGACATAAACGTCGAGGATGACAGAATAATTTAGCTTCGATGGAAATGTTTCTTTTCTTCTTTCTCACAGTGAAAGATTCTCTCGAATGAATTCTCTATTATTCGCTAAACAGGTTTCAGCATCGATTCTCTTATAACGAGCTGTTTATTCCGATTATTCGATGCTCGTACGCGTAGCCTGGTTGATCGATCATCGAGTAAATTGATGATACCCTCGGCAGCGTCAGGTGAATTTGACGGAACACAAGATTATTGGACAAATAATTCCTACTCGACTAGCAGATTTATTCGTGAACAGTCACTCTCGTTATCCGACCATTCGAACAGACTCTGTTGAAAAGATTCCCGGGCCCGTTCAGAATCGCATTCTAAAGAGCAATTACACGGTAAAATATGACTGGAACAGGCACGAGTAAATTTCTTTACGGGAAGACAGTAAGCCGAGCTTATCGTCCTAGCAATGAATTTCTTCTCTGAATAGTTTGCCGCTTTTCAAGATTCCACTAACGGGAATTAGTCCGCTTACGAGTGTCGCGACAAAACAACTCGTTCTTACTTGTACACTCGCGATCAAATCAGGCTTCCTTAGGAAATATGGCGATATAAGGGAAACAGGAATTCCAAAAATCTTCGTTTTCAAGACATTAATGCGAACCCTCGGACGGCGGACCATGGAGAGAGCCCCAACTTTAATTTTTAATCGTTTCTTTTTCTGAACGCATGGAATTGTCATTAAAATTAAATTTATCCTATGCTTTGTGCAGCAACCCCCGTCTAGAGTGCTCGCCCTTAAAGGGTTATAAGGTTGTCGCGTCGATCCTGAAAATCATTAATCTTGCTAAGAAGTTGCCTGAAAGTGTGACACGTGCGTTTGTAAAGCAACCGTGCTGGGATCAACAGGCCTTTCGTTTTCGGTGCTGTTACAAGATTAGCCTCCTGCGAAAGAATAAATCAATCAAAGTGTCCTACGGAAGTTGCTTTCAGGACGTCGCTCTTTGACAAATTTAACCCCGTTCAATCGAACCCTGATCAAAGATTTATATTACCTTGAATTCTACATTTCTTCACAATTGATTACAATTTTTTTTTTTATTTAAATCAAGAGTCTATCTCCTGAAACTTCGACTCGCATGCGAATTCGATCCGATCACTCTCTCGACCGGCAATTCCGTTTTCGACGCTCGACTGTTTACCGAGATTAATCGATTGCGAGTGCAGCAACGAGAGCAGGAAAGACGGGAAATGAAAGTCTGCGTAAATCCTCAACGAGTATAGCGAACTGGAGGGATGATCGCGAACGAAAGAGAGGGTGGGTTCGCACTGCCGAAACCCGCGACCCAGATACCGATCGACCCACCGACACACATTAGGGGAGGGGGTGGAGTGTGGAGAACGTTCTGCAAAAGCGAGCTAGAACGAGACGCAAGTATACTGCGTTATACTATCTCTATCTTTATTCTACCACCCCCTTCGAGAGAGGTTCATTTTTCTTCACCCTTTAACTACTAGAACCTCTTTACTCTTCTCTGTTTCTATTTCAAATGATGCATCGTTATCTCGGATTCAGAGGTTTAATGCTCTTAACATTTTTGATGTTTTGGAATGTTTCTTTTGGAAATCTTTGAACACCGGAATCTAGTTATAATTTTTAAACAAACAATTTTCATATATTAGAAGAATTTTTAAAGGAACAGTGTAAAATTTGGGAGATGAGAATAATACGAAGTACGAAATTGGATCAAAGTTGTGGTCCCTCTCCATGGTCCGCCGTCCATATGATTTTTAAACAAACAATTTTCATATATTAAAAGAATTTTTAAAGGAACAGTGTAAAATTTGGGAGATGAGAATAATACGAAGTACGAAATTGGATCAAAGTTGTGGTCCCTCTCCATGGTCCGCCGTCCGTATGATTTTTAAACAAACAATTTTCATATATTAAAAGAATTTTTAAAGGAACAGTGTAAAATTTGGGAAATGAGAATAATACGAAGTACGAAATTGGATCAAAGTTGTGGTCCCTCTCCATGGTCCGTCATCCGAGGGTTAATACGGTTTTTTACCCTTCCCGTCGAGCGACAAACGCGGAAGCGCCGCGACGATGATTCGAACGGTGCGTGCATACTCGTGCTCGAAATAGAATCGTAGTTACGGTGTTCGCACTTTCAGCGAGCGGGTTTGAACAGAGTCTTGTTGTAACTCGCGTGTCGACACGCTTACGACCGATCGCACGTTCGTTGATTAGTCGAGCTCGGATGTAACGGCGCGTTGTTACGGTTTGTTACACGCTTGGAAATCGATTTTCAAGATCAAGAATAGCACTTTGAGACTGACCAGAAGTTTGGAAAATTTTCACTGAAAATTTTGTTAACCTTTAGACTGCCAGGATTTTAAGAGCTTTATACCCCTTAGTAAGTTTTCAAATTTTGTGTCTGTATCTTACAAATAACATATGCGAAGTTTCGATCACAGGTAAAAACTATACTTAGATTTTCTGGTAGTCTAAAGGTTAATTGTTGGTTTTGTAAAGTACTTTGAAATACAGAAAATTCGAAACAACAAAGATAACTGGGAATAATTGGAGAAATTTTGTTGTAAGAAAATATCGCAATGGAAAATTGGAGAATAAAAGGTATAA